TTTGATTCCAAATTCTTATTTTCTCATTCGTACTTGTCTTTAAAGTTACTGTCCAAATTATAATTTATATAGTATTATCTTGTTCCTGAGTGATGCTAAATATTGCTGTGACATTCATGTTCCTAATTCATCTTGGAAATTAGAATATATGTATTGTATTTAATTTGAAAAAAATATTAAGTTCAGTTATACCTGATATTAAAAATTAAATATATTTTTATCATCTTCCCATGTGTTTTGTTTATATTATAAGTGCATGTATGTGTGTGTATGTTTATGTATATAATTAAATTAACTATATATATTATATGTAAGTGAATGCATCTGTTGTAAATTGTAAATAAATTTTTTTGTTATACGCTCTTTTTGTTTTCTTTGATCCTGATGCTGATTAGCAAGCTTTGTCCAGGTGCAGCATAATTATTTAAGGATTAACAGGTTGCATACAAGTTAAGGAGTACTGACTGCAAAATTGTAACTTACCTAATAATCATAGATGATTAATAGTCAGGAGAGTCATTTTAAGATTTTAATTTTGCCGATGTTTCAACCCAAGCATGTGGGTCATCATCAGGGCATGTTACCAGTACTGAAGATGATCAAGTACTCTAGAGTACTGGTGACATGCCCCAATGATGGCCTATATGCCCAAGCATGTCTAGCAATGTCTAGGTTGAAACGACAAAATAAAAATCTTAAAATGATTGTATCCTGACTATTTATCATCTATGATATGTAGAACAGTCGACTAACTTCCTTCAATATTTACCATATTTACAATAAATTATTGTTAGGTTGGTCAGACTGCTGTTGTTATCATATAATAATAATGAAAAAAAATCTGGTGCGCGCAACACACAACTTACCGCTCTACTTTGAATAGAAATTATTTTCTGGCAATGCTGGGCTATTATAAAATTTTAAGTGCATTTTAAAGGGAGCTAAAGCTTAAAGCTTACAGATAACAAGTCATTAAGACCATTATAATTACAAAATGTCTATTTAATATATCGACGATAGGCAATAAAAATCTAGTCACCATCTGATTTTATAAACCACACAACATTCTTTGCTTTTATACCACAGAATGACTAACTCCAATTTCAACATTTTTGAGTAAAGTAATGTCAATTTAGTAATATTTTTAGTTGAAAAAGTTATCTATGCAGATAGTAAGTTGATTTCAGAGGTGGTGATTGTAGTGTTGAAATATAGAACTGCGAATAAAGGTATAAATTTAGATACTTATTTCTTATCCAAGATGTTCTGAGGTAAGATACTTTATTAAATATCTGTAGAAAAAAAAGTTTTTTTTAGTCTCAACAATTCAAAAAGTATATTTTAAATTTATACAAATTTTCGCCTCTTTTCGGGCCAAACTCTTTTGTATATGAGTCTTTTGTAATTAATTGGAAGTTTAGAGCGTTTGTCTAGTAAGTACTGAAGTAATCGGAAACGGCGAGCGGCTTCTTGTCGTTTCAGTCTGGTATAAGGATTCCAAGTTAGACGACTGTCCAGGTTGAGTCCTAGATAGCGGATTTGCTTAAGAGGGATAAGTGGAGTATTGTTAAAGGAAACTGTAGGATAGGCAGTCGTAGGTTTACGACGAAGAGTAAAGGTAATTTGGTGGGATTTATTGGAATTTATTTTAATTCTCCAGTTTTTACACCATTCCTCTAGATTTATGATGTGGGATTAAATCATTAGGGATGCAATTGGTGGGTCATTGTTTACTGATAGGGTACATGTGTTATCGGCATACGTAGTGATGACAGTGTTGGGATGTCAGCAGTATAAACTACATAAAAGTTAGGACCTAGGGTACTACCTTGAGGAACACCAGTAGACTGGGAAAAGAGGGATGAATAGGCGTTTTTGTAATTTACTTTAAAGTTTCTATCAGTAAGGTAGGAACGCATAATGTGGAAGTATGTAGGTGGTAGGAATTTACCGAGTTTTACAGCAGTCCCGGAAAAATAATAAATGTAAAACGAAAACATACACTCAGCTTAATTTCAAATGAAATTTTAGTACTATTTAACCAAAATCTAATCAACCAAAGAAGTCCAAAATCCCAATATACTCAATCAATCTCGACTTTTTCCTAAAACATATAAAATCACTATTAGTCTATTGAATAGGCCTCTATTGTCTATTGTATGATCCACTTGGTAAGTAATTTTTTTATAATAACGGAAATTACTCTGGAAGAAAAAAAATTGAAACTATATAAAATAATAGTGGAAAAAAAAATAGTATATCAGAACAATAATGCTTTTAGGGATAAATTCTTTTGACACTTGCTTACATTTTTAGATAAAATACATGCGTTATAATAAAAAATTAGTAATTCTGATTGGTTATTCAGCTCAGATCACTCAGAGGAACAGATATGGACCAATGAAAAAAATTTTATTTTCCATTTTGGGGAGGGGGAGTTGAGCGCGACGACCTCTCCCCCTCTATGGACCCGCCAATGTTGGTCTTCTTTGATGCAGAATAGTGAGGACTATTGATCCAGTACAAAGCTGTTATACTACTATAGGGCGTTTATTTTTATTGATAATTAACTGTGAAGTGAAATTAATTTTATACTGATCAAAGGATGGAATAGGATTTCATAATGACAATGTTCATTCCTAATATTAATTTATTGCAATGACACAACATATCAAATATAAATCATTATTCATTGTATTGGACAAAATTAAATCTTAAATTATCAGATAAAATATAACTTTATACTAACAGTATAAAAATAAAATAAGAACAAAGACAAAAATATTATATAAATAATAATTATTTATTTCTATTATACTACCGTGAAAATACGAAATCAAACAATCATCAAATCACATAGTTAGAACATGATTTTGGCCTCTTTGTAGATAAGTGGTAATACCAGCATTATGGATTGATAAGTAGCTATTATTTTTTCTATTTATACGTTTTTAAAGTTAAAACTAATTGAGACTAAAATGAGAGAGTTAATACTAGTTCTGGGAGTCCTACACTGTACGGAGGATCGCCGTTTGGTTGTTTTCTTATTATTATCTTTCGAGCTGTGGCAGGAATTAAAAGTATTCAAAGCACCGCAGGTTACTTATTGAACCTGGCATATGTCTATATCATATTTCTCAATTATTATTGTTTAATATTGCACTGTTTGATAAACGAAACTGAATATTGAGTCGATGAAATATAATATGTATTGGGGGTTTTATACACTGGGATTACCAATGGCATGCAAAAGGTTTCTATACAAAAAAATGTCTTTCTTTGCAACTTTAAGAGTCACAAGAACTTACCTCGCGGAACAAATCTCTTTATGGTTTGTTTCTTTAAATGAAAATATTTTATTTTCCTACTGTTTTTTACCACCTGTTCGGTTTCATGTTAAAAACATGTTTATTATTAAAAATTGCTTTGTTTTCGTTGTTGGTGATTTTATTGGTGATATTTCAGTTAGTCCTAGTTGTAACTTACCACAACAAATGTTTGTAACAAAACATTTAGTTAAGTCTCGAATTAATACTCGTTATAATATTGTAGTTAACTAATTTGCTAACTATTGCTAGCGATGGTAACGAAATAAAATAGCTCTAGCAAGAGTCGTTGGGTGGATTGTTGGCGCCCATTTTGATTTTGTACCAGGCATTCTTACATCCTAAACAAACCAGTCAGTAGCTAAACAAATGTTTGTGCCTCTAGGCTGTGGCGCCCTGGACGGCAATTCCGGACAATTAGGATATTGAATGATTTTGGATTTTCACAGTATTATATGAATATATATAATATAGCAAACTTTAAAAAAATATAATTAGTAACAACTTTAACACTAGATAGAAATGGCAGTGAAAAATTTATTTTAAAAACATCTATTCATCGCACAACCAGCTTTTTATAATTGATTCTAAGATGGTGCAATTGATAGCACGAAACCGGAACATAGCGAGTTGTTTTTTTACCCACTTAGGGTTAAGCAATTGATAACCATTTTTATAAGATTTAATTTTATTCTTAATCTTAATGACATATTTAATATATTCTAGAACGAGTTGTTTTGGCAGTGATTAGAAAAACGAACTATACTTAAGGTATAAATATAAGTATTAAATTTATGTGTGTGTGTGTATATATATATATATATATACATCAAATTATTATTATTAGAATAAAACTATTTGTCGAGCTTCATAACACGTAAGCACACGTGGTTAGAACATTTATAATTATTATAACGGTTAATAATACTATTAGATTCCTAATAAAAAAATAAAATAAAAAAATAAAAGTTTGATATTATTTAGTTATTATATTGATATTATGTTTTTACGATTTTAATTATAGACATTTTGTGGCTTTTGGTTCATTTTAGGGTAAGCATTTGAACTATATTATTGCAGCATTATGAAGCTTTCCAAAAGTTTGATATTAAGAAGCCAAGTTTTTATAAGCTGAGTCCTGGCCTAGAATCTTGATCAGGTGCAAAACATGCTTATTAAACAAACCTCTTCATTTTACTAGCCTCATTTATTTAAAATTAGGGACAATTTAAAATTCTCCAAAATAACAACCTTCCTCCCTACAATTATGTATCATGTTTGTTATCCATTTGAGTTAAATTAGGTATATTTTGCTTACTAACGATATTTTTCCGAACTAGAAGCTAAACTCGCAAGTGGAGGTTCCTGGTCGGAAAGCATTTACTGTTAATAACACTAAAACATGTTACTCAGAGTGGTACATTGACTAAAATAAGAGTGAGAATTAAAAATGTAATTTTAAACAAGAAGCACAGATAAATGCAACAATAGAAAATTTTAGTATCAATGATATTATACTTCATATTTGTAATATCTGTTGACTGAATAGAAAACACATAAATTGTATTATAATTGTTAAAGAAAGCAATATGTAAATACAAAAGATATAAACGAGATTTAATATTCTTATGAAGTTGTGAATTTGTTATAATTTAATTGAATATTCATTCTGTCTCATTGGTGAAGAGAGTGATGTGTTAGCTTCGAGTTCCTTCGAGGGCGGACCTTCCTTTCTAGGGAGAATGAGAGAATGAACTCTTCTATATCGCATTCATTACTTCCTCGCCTGATCCTGAAGAATCCCTCTTCACCCCATTCTTCTCCCCAGCTGTTAGCTGCAATCTACGGTAAAATTGACATGAAAATAGTTTTTTTATAGAATATATTTTGAAAACAATGTTATGTTTCCTATAGATTATATTATGTTTCATATAAAATATTTTCTTGGCACATTCCTTTACCGCATTATTGAGAACCATCGGCCTTCCCATATTTATAATCTCTGACTATATACTTTTTCACGGAGCGACATTAATCTTATGGTACTTTTCAAACTTCGATATGCCTCTTCCTTAAGTTCACTCAAAGCCGTTTTTCAAATAGTCTAAAGGGACGCTGCCTAGGGAAAAATTTAGTTTAATTTTTCTGCATTAAATGTCTCCGTCTGAGATAGTCTTAGAGTATCTCTCTAACAGTCAAGAGCCTAACTAGTGCTTCTCGCTATATTATATTATTTAAACAGTGACTTCAAGACTTTTCAACCATTTTTTTTTCACAATTACCTCGTTTCGTAACAGCACATTAATATTACAATATAGTTATTTTTGGTGGTAAGAGTTATATAGGGAAAAAGAAAGAAAAAGAACTTGATATAAGCAGCTGAGTTGGAGTAGTGAGGTTAGCTAGCAGCAGCCTAATCCTATCAGCCTTCACCCAAACAAATAGGTGTGTCTTTGTTGTTGTCATTACTTTCGTTTTCTCTCACCTTTTTAAAGCAATGAGTGACAGTTATTTATTTATTTTATTTTTTCAATATGGTAAGTTGCAAAATATGCGGAAAACGGTAGGTCGAGAAGACAAGAACAAATTGGCTTGTGTTACATTTCAAAACATATTTCATGCTATATGCACTAAAATAGATTTTACAGAATCAGAAAGCCTAAAAGATGCCAGGAAAAAATGGAAATGCACCGGTTGCGAAACAGGGTCGCGTACATTGCCAGCTACTGAGCCTAATACTATGATAGACCTACTGAGGACCCTGGCCGATGAAGTAAAGGAATTGAAGTCCAAACTTCAGGGTTTAGACGAGCTAAAGGAGATAAAAGAAATCCTCCAGAAGCAATCGGAACTATCTTTCGAGAACATGGAGCGATTATTAAAAATTGAAACACTCCTGGAAGAGCAAAAAACCCATACTGAAAAATAGAAGCCCGGCGAAACCGTAATAGGCACGATTCTTAGCTTCGGAGCGGTTCTGGGCGTCAAGTTTAGTCCGGACGATCTCGATCACGCCGTGAGACTAAGACCCAAGCAAGAAGGGACCCCAGGCCCAATTATAGTAAGATTCATCAGACAAGCGGTGAGAGATGGGCTGGTGCGGCAACGAAGAGCTAAGAGAGATTTCTCTACTCGGCATCTAGGCTGGGGAGAGAACGACTCGCACCGCGTCTACGTGAGTGAAGCTATGACGCCCACCAATAAACACCTCTATTGGTTAGCCAGGCAGAAGAGAATGACTGCAAAAATAAAATATATCTGGTTCAGTGGGGGTAAAATTCGTTGCAGACAATCAGATGGATGCCCAGTAGTAATTGTAGAAAAACCAAGTGATCTGGATGTTTTCAGCTGAACATTGTCTATAAGTTACCTCTAGTTTGCAATTAATTTACTTTTTCTCACTAGAAATATATCTATTATAATTTTTTTCATTTCCAGCTTTCTTTATTTTTTTATTTTATTAAATTTAGCATACCTTATATTTTTATTTTTGTATACATTTTTTCTCATCAGAAATATTTTAATTTTAATTTTAAGCTTGTTTTATTTTTTTTTTATAAATTATTTAGTACTTTATTTAATTCTTTGTCAATTTTTATCAACTTATTTAAACCAATTTATTTATATTTTCGTATGTTATAAATTAATACTAATTGAAAATTTATATTGAAATACTGCAGATTTATTTTTTTACCTCAAAGTTTATTTTATGTTTGCATTGTTTTTGATATTTCTAAACTTAATATTATGCTTACAAAAATGTTATATCCTATCCTTCATCCTCGATCATTTTTTCCACAATTTCACTTCCCAACTCTCCAGTCATTACTAATATCCTGAATACCTGTCACATCAATGCACGATCCCTTACTGCACACTACGATGAATTGCAGAAACATTTCCTTGATAATTTTTACTACATAATAGCAATATCTGAAACCTGGTTAAAACCTTTTATCCCCTTCTCCCAGATTTCCCTACCCAATTATTGTTTCCTACACCACGACAGATCTGTCCCCTTGTTTGAAACTTTTCATTTCGAAAATTCACAACGCCGTCGAAATGTTCCCCTCTCAAAATTTCAAAACCCCGTCAAAATGTGACCCCCCCCCCCCAAAAAATGTGATGGCGCAACTTGCGCCAAGAAACCCCTTCCTGGGCACCCCTGCGTGGGAGTCGAAAACCAGATGGATAGATAGAGTCAAAGTTAACAAAGATGCTGCAGAACTGCATGCAGTAGGCTTAAAATCAATAGTCCTTGAAAAGCGGATAATTGTCCTTGATAAGATAGGAAGAAGGCTGGTTTAGGCGGTCAAAGGTTTATAAAGACGAGAAAAACGCATATAGATAAATTTATGTTTTTTCGTCTGTTTATAAAAAATATATTGTCTGAAAATCTCGATCTCAGGAAATACATAACACTGTGTAAAAAACATGTTTATAAAAAAAAAAAAAAATAGTCAGAGAATAATTATTAAACACAGAATTTACCAACAATTGTTATGATAATTCATGCCTTGATAATTAAGATTCCTTACCCAATAAGGAACATTCCTTGAATCCAAACCCCATCCTAAGAGTTTAATGGAATGGAGGCTTCCAACCTTGGCCGGTATTCTTTTAGGGCAGCTGTATACCCCCCAAAATACGTATCCTCCTAACCGCTCCCACACCCACACCACTATGCAACCCCCCCCACCAACCAACACCACACCACCCCCCCACCCCCCCTACAACACACACAAGGACAAAACTAAAACCCAAACTCCCCACCCTATACCCAACTCTCCCCCCTATAAACCCAACACACAACCCAATCCCCCTAACACACAAATCACACACAAACGACCCCATCCACACACACCCCACACAAACCAAGACAACCCCACCCCACAAAACTCACCCATACACACTCCCATACCACAATCCCACACGCAATACCCCTAATCACACACTAGAACGAGAAAGATACAACTATACAACCTCCTGGTCCGCACCTAACCCCACGAATCCCTAAAACTCACTCCCCTCACCCCCCGTACTAAACACCAGACCTAGTCTTGCACCTCTAAAGACTATACATATATATAATTCGCTTTCAAAAAGACCCACGCCAAATTCGAGATTCAGAGGATCCGTGTGTAACTGTGAAGGACGATCTTTCTGTCAGTAGAGCCACAGATACTCAGGAAGGGACCCCAGGTCCTATTATTGCCTGTTTTGTTAGGTAAACCGTAAAAGATGAGATACTGCAAGTTCTTGCAAAGTGCAAGACCAAGACCGATTTTGGGCAACACTAGTTTCATACCAAAATTTAAACCTGCTCTCCTATGAATCCTTTCAACCTGACCTCGACTCCATCCAATGTGATATCATATATTTCTTTAACTCCATTGAACCTATGGCATCGACCCTTAGTAGTCATGTAATTATGTAGTCATCCTAGGTCAGCCTCCTTCTAAGATACTTCCTCTCTCCTGTGGTGTCCCTCAGGTTTCCTCTCTATCTCCTATTCTTAGACCTATTAGCAGCCACCTTTTCTGCAGCAGACCTTTTCTGACCTATTAGCAGCCACAAAAAAACTTCAAGAGGAATTCAATGGAATCTAACAAGGTGAAGTTGAATGCCAAGAAGCCTTAGGAAATTTTTATAGGCTCCAGTAACCTTCTTAAAACTGTTTCTAAAATACCAACTGATAGAAGGCAGTGGATCAGCTGATGCGAAGATTGTGTTTTCAACTTGTCTCTCGGTTTTTGCCTATTTTTCAGCGGAATCTCTCTGATTATTCACTAAATACAGTTCGAGTGTACATCAGAGCAGTTGATATTTACTGTTTGATACATTTTTTTTAATTTAGATTTTTTTCCCCTTTTCTTCTCTTATGATATGCGGCATTGTCACCACGCGATGACCAGTAAGGTGCCCACTAAAAGGACTCGGTCAGACGGAATTAGTACCCATCGTGATTCACTAGCCAAACAAAGAACTCGTCGCTGCCTGCGAGAAATCCTTACAATAGCCACTGTGAACACCTAAGATCCCGAACCTCAGCCTCAACCAGGTACCTCTTCGCAAAAAATGGTTGAAGAATCTCCTTTCTTTACTCCAAACCCGTTCCAAGTGCTTCATAATGACAGAGAAGTAAAGGAGTCAGCAGCAATACCCAAGGAACCAAGGCCTCCTCCGATATTGGTAAAAGATATCAAATATTTTCAGCTATTGTGTACACAACTAAACGAAATCTGCTCCGGCAGATATTCTTGCCTCAACAGGACCAACGATACAAAAATAACACCAGATACTGAAGAAACCTAACGAAAAATTGGGAAGTACCTGTCAGAAACGAATGCAAATTTCCATACCTACTAGCTGAAAACCACATACTAGACTTAAAAGACAAGACCTTAACCGACGATACGGCCAATTACACAGACTACTGACTAGAAAATCTTAACTTTCAATTGACAACAAACTACTAATCTACAAGACATTCCTGAAACCTATTTGGACCTACAGACTTTAAAATTTTCTAACATCAAACGCATCCAATCCTTTCAGTCCAAAGTCCATCATGACCTTAATATCCCATTTGTCCTCGACCTTATCCCGGAAATTTTTTCCAAATTCCATCAGAACCTTATCAATCATCCAAACCCCTAGCACAATCCCTATTTAGTTCCACTCATCCCTACAATCTTTCTCGAAGGTTAAGACGGCAGTGGCCCTGAGATCTTTTGTAGTATATATCTTGGAGTTCTGGCAATGGCCAGATTCTCCACTCAAGACACGAATGTATGTGCCTAAAGCGCTCTCGCTCAAACTCCAGTGGCTTTAGCACCAGGGACGCGATTGAGAGAGTAGCGCAGGGATTCCTTGGAGTACTGCTTTTCCTTCTATAGTTGGAGGGAGAAGCCTGGCTTGGGGTTCCCTACCTAATTGTATATACTGTATATAGATATGACTATGTTTTTATGTTTTTAATTTACTTATCTTTAGGTTATTTTATTTTTTATTGTACATAGTTTTTTTTTATTATTATTTAGTTATTATTTTACTTTTGTTAATTTTATATTTTCTGTATATATGGTGTGAATGTGTTCATTTATCACTATAATAGAATATTATATTTCTAAATAAATAAGAATACCAACTTTGTTCATACACGATAACCGCATAAAATACTATCCCACCATTAAGAACCTTGGAATAACCTTTGATCAGACCCTTTCCTTCCGATAATTCCTCTCGTGCCTTTTTCACTTTAAAACATCTAAATTACCTCCCACCTATTTCCATTTGAAACCCGTAAACTCTTAATCACTTCCTTAATATTTCCCCACTTCGATTACTGCTGTATGGTATATTGTGGGGGAGGGGGTTTTCTCTGAAGATCACGAGGAGAAACTAAAACGTTCCATGAATTGCGTTGTACGAGTCATCTTCCGGATTCCAAGTGACGCCTCTGTTTTCCGTTTTTATTAAGAACTGAAGTGGCTTTATCCCTTCTACCTACGTAAGTATTTCCTAGCATCCTTCCTCTTCCACGTGGATAACATGATTGGATAATCCTGTCGTCCTTCATACATCTTCTAGTTCTTTTAATTCAAATCCTCTGTTCACTACTGCAAAACCCGTTCTCGGTCTTCAGATTTGTATACAAGAGCCCACCGAACCGCTGCTTTCGACAGATATTTCATTATTCGATTCTCACCCCTATGGTATTCCATCTCTTCCTACATCCGTCGGTCAAATATCCTCTCCACGCCTTTTCAATCACCTTTTATCTGTTCAATCCTCACGAAATTTTAAATAGATGTTGTTGTAAATATGTATATAAATAATTAGTTTGTTTTAAATATATATAATAATAATAAAAGGCTTAGCGTACCCAAAGGTTCGATGCCGACACCACCAATCGCATATTACACACCTATCGCCACTGTTTGCCGTCCAAACCCAGTCCCTTCAGATCGGCTTTAACGCAATCTTCCCACCTTCGCTTCGGTCTACCACTCGGACGGTACAGCAAATATTACCCTTTTAGAAATTCTTTCATTACTAAACCCAAAAATTTTACAAGCCCATTTGATTTTCCGCGACGAAATCACATCAATTATATTAACCGGATACAGTTCACGCAATGCGGCGTTGTGTAACCGTCTTCAATTTTTCATTAAAATTCAATTTTTTCTTCAATATTTGCCGTAATGAAAATATTTGATCAATAGTTGAACGATTCCGTCTAAATCCGCATTGGTAGTCTCCGATAATTTCCTCGGCGTATAAATAAAATTATTTTTTAAATATCCCTACAATGGTGATGGCTCTTGCTTATAACCTTATCCAAGAAACCAACAAATAAGTCTCCATTAGCTAACGAAACATTACCAAGGTGACACTTGTCACTGGACGATGAAACTCAAAGGGCGACACATTGAAAGCGAAATTTTCTTTTAGGTTAAATAGAAAGTTTGAACTTCTATAAAAAGTATGTAACCGTCACGTGTTGAAAAAAATGACCCCATGGCTCATTTACCGGACTAGTTCTCCATCGTAAGAACCAGTAGTATCAGTATTATAAATAATAATTGTTTGATGGAGGATTATTTCCAAGACTTCTAGGAAGTAGGATTAAGGTTAAATTATTTTAATCCAATGGCTGACTTTTTATTATGATACATATTATTTTTATGTGCGAAAAACATTGATAATGTGCGATATTTTAATAAATAGAATTCTTTCAGATGAATGATGCTTTAAATAAAACAAAATGACAGTATATATGATTATTTGCCTACCTATTACTGGACCGTTGTCATAAATCTCTCTTCTGATAGCTGATTCGTTACTCGCTATTCTGCTGAGTGCTGACGCCCTATAAAGTTTCCCCATTCCCCCACCTGGACAGTCCACCGATTCCTGTTTCCCAAGCCCTCTTTCTTTGATTCGACATCGGGCCTGAGTTGATCTCGGGTAGCAGGAAGAAGTTGTTAAGCTAGAACAATAAACATTAGATTGGTAAACCTTTGCCAAGAATAATTGTTAAATTACATTGAGCCTCCACATAATCCTAAAACCAAGTATGAAAAAACATATATTTCAATTTTTAAGGAAGTGAATTTATATTAGATGAATAAAGCCTATCTTAAGTATATGACTTTCTTTTCTGCAGTATCCTTTAATAATAATTCCACTTATCCCTCTTGATGGGATTCGCTATCTAAGACTCCCTCTTAACAAACATCGTTACTTGACAAAACCTCATTAACTCTCAGAGGCGCCTGAAAGGCCCTGGGTCCCCTTAATATAGTAATTTTATTAGAGTGGTACCAATTGGTAATTTCTCTTCCAATTGGTAAATCTTTATTGTTACTATCAATGCATGACAAATCACTTTTCATTTTCTTTCAAAATACTTACCCACTACCCATGATGTATTTCCAGGACTTTGTCAGAAAACCAGCACTACAAATAGTTCTTCTTCTCTGTCCTTTGGAGCAAGTCAACAATTGTTGATAAGATAACGGCCCTCTTTCTTGGCCTTGAGACCATTTTGCCAGCCTGCACAATCAATAAAACCATCATAGTTAATATCTTAAAATAATCAATCATAAAGCTCTCTACAAACATCCCGGTTGTACATAATCTAAACCTCAAACAGCTTCTCCAATTAGGTGATTGTGACGATCTACAAAATATGCGACTTAAATGATTGAATAAAAGCGTTATATTGTTAAAACTGACAAGAAGCATGTGCAGTCAGAAGCATATTTCCAGTGACAATATTATAACCTACATAATAATTGTTATCATCTTACACATTAAGCTCAGCCATACCTTAGAACCAGCCTACCTTATAATGTTTAAAGAATTATCATGCAGTTACACCTTGCCAATGATTATAGTTTCAAAGTATCTGTCAATAAAACTGTTATCAAATTTTATCCTCAAAATAACTTTGCATTACGCAATAATCGTGTAAACGAAGATTTACACCATATTTTTGTAGAATGTCCAATATATGAACCCAATTACATAAAATCGAGGAAGAACAGTTTCTTTGCTTTTTCTTTGGATTTGTCCGATGAATTAAAGAAAATAAACCGTTTTTTCAATCAGTTAGGAAGATTCACTCACTCTGTATGGGTGATTAATCTATTAGGATAAAACGAAAACTTTTTTTTTCACATTAGAGGATTTTTTATTGTTTTGTTTATGTAGTTGTAGTTGTATTTGTGAAATTAATCCTTAATATCACGTATAAATATATGCATATAGAGAATAAAAATAATCGTACTTTAGCTAAAGTGATATTTTGATTATTAAAAACTGCCCTGCGTCTGATGAAGACAAAGCTGACGAATTCGCCAGAAACCTCCATAGTACATTCACTCCTCATCCAGAATCCCGTCCCACCCATATCGCAAAAGTAGAAGAATTCCTCCCTTTACAAATCCACTGTCCAAGAAGGACTCCGAGTTGTTGATCATATATCCTGAACCCTATAAAACCAGCAATATTGTTCGGGTGCATTTCTAGACATGGCGCAGGCTTTTGACCGGGTATGGCACGTCGGATTGCTATTCAAGCTTAAATTCCACCTACCACAGTCTTTATATCTAATACTCTGATGCGACTCTCTGACCGCTCCTTCCAAGTTCGCAGTGGTACTGAATTATCTGAATATTATTCAATTGAGGCGCGAATTCCGAAGGGCAGTATCTTGGGTCCCATCCTTTACATTATTTTTACCGCAGATATCCCTGTCCATCCCGATACCCTCGTGGCAATATTCGTTGATGACATCACTATCCTTTCAATCAACTCAGATCCTATTACAGCGTCATTAATCCTACAAATGCACCTCTTCCTGATTGAACACTGGTGTAAGAAATAGCGCATTAAGGTAAATGAATCGAAATGCAAACACATTACCTTTATCCTTTGTCGTAAATCCTGTCTACCGATTAATTTTATCTCCATCCATCTTCCTTTCACAGATACAGTCCGGTGTCTTGGCTTTCTCTTAGACAGACGAATAGCGTGGAACCCTCATACTAGACTACTAAATAGAAAATCTAAACTTTCCATTGAAAACAAATTATTGATTTATAAGACAATCCTGAAACCTATTTGGACCTACGGACTTTAACTTTGGGAGACAGCAAAACAGCAAAACTCTCCAACATCAAACGCATCCAATCCTTTCAGTCCAAAGTCCTTCGAACAAGAGTCGATGCTCCTTTCTATGTAACCAACAAAACCACACAATGACCATAACATCCCATTTGTCCTAGACTAGGAAAAATCTCCAAATTTCACCAGAACCGAATATCACAGTACAATCCCAAATATCCAATTTCCTCGAAGAACGCAAACCTCGCGATCCTCCCCAATCTGGCTTCCGCCCGGGCTTCTCCACTCATTCCGCTCTTGTTAAAATCACAAATGACACACATTCTGTAATGGACGAAAAAAAGCTAACTTTACTAGTACTCCTGGACTTCTCCAAAGCATTTGGTTCCATAGACCATTCTATCCTCTTCGGTAAACTAAAATCTCTTTCCTTCTCCAATAGTGCCTTTGGTTTTAATCTTTCCCCTCCGATCGGTATCAAGGAGTCAGTGTTCCGAATAGACTCTTATCTTCCTTCCGTATCAGTGTCTCCACTGCTCCCGTCACGTTAACATCGTCAGTCGCTTTATTCTCACGTTAAGTAGTGGTAGTAATACCTTGGAGCTTATATTGGGACTATGTTCCAAAGTTTTCATCGGTTAACTTTTCTGATTTCATTGAAGAAGTTATCGGAGTGTATATTTAATCTATAGAACACAGTGGAACGATACGAGGTGACTTATTATACGTCTATAAAATGCGAGTCGACATATTGCCTAGTAGTGGGAGAGTGCATGCTCAATAATCAGATTGACTGACCAATATCTTCCTAGCTTCTTTGGGGGTTACGTCCATCATCTTCTAAGTCTCACAATTTTTATTTCTTTTCTTTTTTCCTCTTTAATATTTTCTAAAATATAAAAATAAATAACCTTGATCAATTGTTCTTTATGCATGCAGATCGTGACAAGGGAAGATAAAAAAAACCGTAATTTGTTCCACTCCTACCTGTCAAGCAATATATCATGCAAAATGTCTAAACATAGAATTAAAAGACATCTAATTCCTAAAAAAAAAAGATTTGGAAATGTCTCAATTGTGACAAAGCCCATAAAATAGTCTGCCCAGCGAAAGAGAGGCGAGTTCACAGCAGACTGCTGGCTATGTCAGTTGCTGCTCTCTGCAATAAAAGACCTTACGGTGGAGGTTAAGAATCTGAGAAGTTCCGTCGATGCTAATGCCTTGGAACTGAAGGATTTGAAATTATATCTGGAAACACAGACATCTATCATATTCCTAAATTCGGAGTTAGGGCAATCAAGTATCCCCCAGCCTTTCGGCGAACGCTTGTGGTGAAAGATTGTATGAAACGATGAGATGCGGTTAGACGGAGGTTTAAACGAACTCGACTTTCCGAAGACTAAACCAAATTCAAGCTCTTTTGAAAGCTTCCAAATTCCAACCGTGCCAAATTCCATTACTCTTAACAATCCCTATCCAGGGATTGGTAAAAGTAACATAATATGTAATATGGTAGTCTACTCATTCAAATCACTCCAAACTCCAAAGCCATGTGGGCAATCCTCCGTAAATTGTCCTTAGGATTTTCTCCTAATACCCCTGACGATCTCCTTAAATCCATTCGTAAATCCCAAATGATTTCGTCCCAGATAATATCCCAGTTAAATTAATTAAATCCTTAGTTCAATCCATTTTTTCCAAATCCCTAACCTTTCCAAACCTCTTCAAAAACCTTTCCGAATTGTACAATTCCAACTATCGCACTATTTCGAACAAAATAACCTCTTAAACCTCTTAAAGTTCGGTTTTAGACCTTGCCCCTCTACTCATTCCACAGTCATTAAAATCTCCCAATATCTCCACACAGCCATAGACCAACAGACACTTACCATCTTTATCCTTCTTGATTTCTCAAAAGCATTTGACTCAGTAGACCATAATATCTTCCTAACCAAACTTAAAAATATTTTCTTGTCATCTAGTGTCCTTAAGTGATTCCAATCCCTCCTCACCGGTCGCTCCAAATACGTCGTAGTCCATAATAATCCTCCATCAGTGTCTCTACTCTTGTCCAGAGGCGTTCCACAAGGTTCCTCTTTACTTCCCAATCTCTTTTCTATCTATATCAATGACCTCCCTTTCTCTATCTTTCAATGTCAATACCACCTATATGTCGATGACGTCCAAATTTACTTTTCCTTCAACCCGGCTGATTGCTCTAATGCCATCCTAAAACTGCAGCAAGACATCAATAAAATATGCGCATGGGCAATTACACCGAGTTAAGTGGCTTTATGCGTCCTACCGCCGTCAGTATTTCCTTGCTACCTTCCTATACCAGGGTATTAGAACTCGGCGAATCTCCTATATTCTACAGACCCTACAATTCAAATCCTCCATTCAATACCATTCCACTAGATCCCTTACGTCCGACCTCTATCCCCCTCTTCACAAAACTGTTGCGTTTGACAAATCCTTTTTAACTCAAGCCGTCTCCCTCTGGAATGCTATCCCTTCTGATATTCGACACGCAAAGTCAGTATCCTCTTTAAAATTTATCCTCTTTAAGGACCTATTACATTCCCGATTCGGTTGAATTGCACATAAAATCTAAGTCGTAAGACTCTCGAAGTTAGTAAGACACTTTGATTATTTTGTGAATTCTTGATAATTTACTTTCCTCTGTTTATTTTATATTTATGTATATTTTTTATATCTTTAGATTATCTGTACTTTTATTTTATTACCATTTATCATCTTGTAAATATTTTATTTTATTATATGGACACACTAACATGTTAATTTATATTCTATATTTATTATTTGTTCTAAAGGGACACTAATCCCGGAATAATAAAATTATTTTCATTCATTCACTCTGTCCTCTGGGGTAGACCAGGGTTCGAGCATTCCAAACTCCTTTTTAATTCCTACAGCAATCTTCTGGTACTAGTAGTAGGAGATAACTGAACAGCATCGAATATTTCTTCTTTAACGTTTGCAGTTCGTCGAAATCTTTGTCAACCGGCGTTTACTCGTATAGGTTTTAGCGTGCCATTATCCCTAATGCTTCTTTCAAAGGCCTCAAACGTTTTACGATTTGGTATTCTTCTGTTAGAAAATGATAATCATTCGGTGTCTCCCATGATAATCATAAATTGAACTGTGTCACAGAATTCACAACACATGAGCAACTAATGTCATTCCTTATCATTCATTTGTTTATCAGGTGGTTAAAACCTGTTATTTAGTATTAAACACGTTAAACTTAGTACAGTCAGTCTTAATGTAGTAAATAAATAAGAAATCTTTAACCTTTTATATCTGTTTAATAAATGAGTTTGAGATATATGTTAATATGCACTTTCCTAAAATAGTGTCTTGCAATTACGAAACATCCTGTATACCATCTCCTGCTAAAACCTGTGTCTTTGACCTCTATATTCCCTCCCATAGAAGTAAAACTTACGAACGTTTCTTCTTAGCCCGCGGCGTTACTTTCTGCGTTACTTCCCATCCAACATCCGTCATGTTTCTTCTCTTTCACCATTCAAATTCCTCCTTACAGCCAAAACAGACGACTTGCCTTCGTAAATTTTCATTTTATGAATTGAATTTTATTAAAAGTGAATAGTAGTGCATTCTGGGTAAATTTTAACATCTAATTTATACAAGTTTTGAGTATATATATGCATGTATATATATATATATATATATATATATATATATATATATATATATATATATATATATATACACATACATATATATGTATCTATGTTTATGTATTTTCTTTTTTCCCATTACCTAATTATCATTATGCGAATGGTGATTATGTTTTTAGTCGTTTACAATATTATTATTAAAATTACAGTATATATGCTATACCTAAAATACTACAATCATGTACGGTCCACTGGACACATCTCAACTTCCTGGGACAATTCTTTGGTTATTTCTATTCTTCTTTTTTTTTTAAATTATTTATTAAGATATATTACAATCTGTCACATTTCTATTCTTAAGAACTGAAAAGAGAAGACGATTAGATATGAGACGAACGATGCAGCAAGCTCTCAAAATACAAATTGAGAAGGAGGAAATGCATCCCGTAGCTGAAAGAGAAATGTAGGGAGGAATCTGGGGAGACAAATTTTTCATTCAAGAGTGGACTTATTACGTATCAATTTAAAAAAATTAGGACTTGTACCAAAACTATCAGTTATATTAAATAATGATAAAGTTAAACTAGGCTCGGTGATTAATTTTCTTAAAGTTGATGATTTGCTAAATAAAATTTAATTAATTTACTATTTTCTCCCTAAAATAATTTAGTATTGAGGTAATTGAAACGAACATTAGACAGGCGTTGATGACTTCGTGGTTCTACGCCTCTAAGCCCTCAATAATAACAACAACTTATCGAAGAATAGCTGATGATTTTTTTTCTGCCTCTAATGTGAAAATTAACTTTCAAACAGTTAGAAGAAAGATGATATAGGACGAATTGCAGCTGCTTAGATGCACATATCATGGATTGACGGTGCCTGGAATAATTGCCTTTTTACAGGCAGGTCTAAATTTGTAATGCACCAGGACTCGAACCGAGCAAGAGTTATCAGAAGAACTGTTTTTATACAATACTTCCCTGGTCTTGCTTGTTTACCCGTTAAGAGGAGGCTATAATTATAGTGTGGGGTGGTAAATCTACGAGCTCTCGAACAGAACTTATGGTGTTATAAAATGAGAATATGACTGCTAAGTGTTACTTGGACAGGCTCGTAGCACCAATAGTGCAACATTTGGCAGAATCGAATGACTCAGAATTTGTTTTAGTTTATGAAAACGGAATCGAGTTAGACTCATAAATACATTTTGTCAAAATCGAGAATTTCCCCGCCTGGATTGGTCTGCTTGATCCCATCCCATTGGATATTTATGGGATCAGTAAAAATGAAGGATTTCAGGACGGATTACCCTTCCACAAACTGTGGATGAACGGAACACCGCACTCTTAGAGAATGGAAGATAGCATTAAAATGCTGGTAATAATGTTCGAGATGGACCAACAAGAAACTAAAACGAAAAAGTTTTTAAAAATTTTAAATTTACTTAATTTATCCTTTAAAATCTAAACTCTCTAAAATTAATGTAAACAGCTTTACATCAAATGTGTTTGCTTTTTTACTTCTATACATATAAATTTAATTACCTTTTAAAAATTAGAATTATTAAATAAGAATTAAGTGTATTTTTAATCATATTTTGAATGATCCACTTCATTTGCAAATGAGTATTTTTAGTTCAAAAATTACTAATAGACCATACCTATCAGAAAAAGTGCTGACAATGCTGAATACCCAGGAAGAGTTGCAGAAATGTTGATTCTCGATTGGGGAAACGTAATTTGGGTTTTTCTGACGCCAGTCAAAATCATTGGGAAGTTGGCGTAGTCTAATTAACGTCCTCACAGGAAACATGGTCCTTACCTATACAAAAAAAATTCATCAGGCATTTTTTATTTTTTTATTCAATTTTGGTTTCAAATGCCAAAAATGTGATTGCCTAATCGCCCCGCGGGTTAGTTAACAATTTTGCCGAATCGAGTTCATCTTCTAGTTAAAACTTTTGGCATTTCTTATAAAGTAAGGCTTTCTCCAATATTCTTCAATATGGAAGTTGACTATTATCCCAAAATTGTGGTTTTGTCATTATTCTCAAATTTTAGGTTTGTTATCTTAAAAAAAATAAAATAAAATAAAAGGACGAGCGTATCAAGCCATGTTTGTCTTAAAGGAAAAGTTTCGGTTCTTCAATGATCCGGAAGTATTGTGCGATAATTAGAGTGACAACAGTGTTGAAGACGGGAATCGCCATCAGATCGTTTATATCTTTATTTTTCGCCACGCATGCGACTTTCCAAATCTTTACAACCATCAAGCCTAATCTTAAAATTCGATTGGTCAACACTAACCTAACCAAATGTACAGTTGTAACAGTTCGTTCGTTCTTATTTTCATTGACCCATCAGATATAATGGCAGAATTGTCATTAAATGGCGATCAGCGGAAATGCCTAGAAGATCTTATTAATAAAAGAAAAACACTGAACAATGTAAAACTTGGATGGATAAACAGTATTGAACACTACATCGATACTAGTAATCAACGGCCGGTAAAGCAGAGGTATTATCCAGTATCACCACTAGCGGATCCAGGATTTAATTTTGGAGTTGCTTCATCAGCCCGAAAGATTTTTTTTCATATACATATAACAATAATTAATTAGAAAAAAAAAAGAAAGAAATTAACTACCTATATGAAATGGTGTTTAAGTGGTTCTTGAAGTCCTATTACATGTAATTAAACGAACAAGAATACTTTAAGAGATAGTTTTTAATATTTTTTTCTGTAAAACATGGTTATATTTTACCATTTTGGGGGAGGGGGGCTTCAGCTCGAAAGCCTCCCCTCCGTAGATCCGTCTGTGTGTATCACCATACGTTCAGTCGGTTATAATAAAATTACTTAGATCAGATGTTAGAAGATGGAGTGCGTGCGTGCGTGTGTGTGTGTGTGTGTGTGTTTATAACATATATATCGTTAGCTCCCTCTTAGTTTATGTCAAACTTCGAATGAAGCCTAACTATTTAATTATGATTTAATAAAAGAAAAAAGAAAAATAAAAAAAGTGGACTCTATCTTCAAACATTTATTTTGGAACATTTACGAAATCTAATATTGAAAACATAAAAACAAAATGAATCAATTTTACACTTGTTAGATAGGTAAAAAAAAAAATAACAAACTTCTAGCATGAAATAAAGACCAGCTGAACAAACAATTGTGACAATATTAATGAAATATTTTCATGCTTGATCATAAAAGAAAAAATTATTTTTATGGCCCAAACTATAATAAAAATAAAATAAGAAAAAAACAACTTCTCTAAAGTCCCAATATGAAATTTATATATATATATATACATATATATATATATATATATATATATATATATATATATATATATATATATATATATATATATATATATATATATATATGTCAGACTGTCTCTCAGGAGGCAGTCAGACTGTCTCTTGTCAATTCTACCGCCTTATGACTTGAACCTAGCTTTACAGCTAGGTTACCTTGTTTACAGCTAGTCCTACTACAATCCATAACAAAGTAGTCCAAGTATAAACTATTGATTTATTTAATATAAACAATATAAGCTATGGGCCTATAATACTTAATATACACATATCTTACATATATATATATATAATATATATATATATATATATATATATATATATATATATAAGTTATGGTTAGATGTAAGACTGTATAATAGTTCACATTCTTCTTTCTTTCTTCCTTTCTTTTCTTTCTTTTTTTTTATCATTTTCTGTTCGGACGATCGTAAGTGGTGCCGAAACCCGGGACCTTAAGATTTAGTCGATGAGATAGTTTTTTCTTTTTCTCTTTTTATTCACGTCACGAAGCAAGTGTCATGGCCGCTAGTGCAATTCAAGTTACACGTCGCTCTGCCTTTGATACGATCTAATGTGCTTATTATTTAAAATACTGCTCTAAGACTTTTTCAACAGTGACTATATTAATAGTTTTATATTTTTATATTCACATATGATCAGGTGAGTGACTATTTATTAACAATGAAACAGTTATAAATTAGTGCTCGTTTGGTTAGCCCATGTGGCTAGTAATTCCCTTGCGGGTTTTACCTTATCTCCGATAAGTTCAAGCCAAGGCTCGGCACTGTGTACAATAACATTCTTCAGTGTTGTTCTCAGTTCGAATCCAAGACATTTAACTTCATTTTTTTTTTCTTTATATTTTCTTTTTTTTTTTTTTCTTTCCAGAGACTCTTTTATTTCATTTTTTTTCTTTGATTATTTATTTTTTGGAAATGAATTATTTTATATTTTATTTTATATCTGTATATATTTATGTAAATAATTTTGTAAATAGCTTAGTGTTTAAGAAGTTATCTCATAAATTTTAATTTTAATATTTAGGTTTATATATATATATACATATTTTTTTTTCTTTTTCTTAATTTTCTCTAACACTTATCATGATGGATCTGGATAAGAACACATCATGTGAAGACACGGAGGATGAGACACCCTTTTCGGAAATTAGCGAGACCGACTCGCAATATTTGAAAAGGCGTACACTCCAAAAGCGTCTCCGAAACTCAGTTCCCGGATCGGGACAAAACTCACCTAATAAAAAAAAAAAGAAAAATAAATCAAATAAGCAACCAGAACAAGATAAATCTCCACCGAGAACTAGGAGCAAATCTAATGCCACTCAATCAGAGCCAACTGCACCAAAAACATCAGAAAGCAAAAATTCAATTCAAGAAAACAACCTATCTCACAAGACTCCGCAGCTTCAAGATTTTTCTGATCCTGAGCCGCCGCCAATATTTGTTTCAAAAATTAAGAACTTTATGTCGTTTGGTCAACAAATTGCAGACTTGATCGGACAGCCAAATTTTCGATGTTACTCGAGAGTGAACGACATCAAAATTAATACTAATTCTAGAGACAATTATAAAAAACTAATCAATTTCTTAACGACCAATAACTACGACTTCCACTGTTACCAATTAAAACAAGAAAAGGCGTATCGAGTGGTCCTGAGAGGACTACATTCAACCACACCCATATCTGCTATCAAATCGGGCCTCGAAGAAATCGGTCATAATGTCAGGCACATAGCACCTGTACTACATCCTAGAGAAAGATATCCGCTACCATTATTTTTTATAGACCTGGAACCAGCAA